TTGCATTTTGCATTAAGGAACTGGAAAACCTTCCCGTCGGTCCTGGCATAGCGCCGCCCGTGTCTGGGGTGGATCGTGACCCACTGAAGCTGCACAGCTCAACCTTCATGGCTGCGGCCACCGGAGAGCAGGAAAGAGGGTGAAGGCATAGAAGTATTCTTTAAATCTGCTAGCACTACCCTGGCCACTGTGGCTGAGTTCGTGGGGTATCATCCTGTGCACCAAAAGATGATTGGTTCAATTCCCGGTCAGGGCTCAATCCCCAGTAGGTGGCCTGCAGGAGGCAGCAGATGTTTCTCTCTCTCCCTCTCCCTTCCTCTGTCTCTAAAAATCAATTTTTAAAAATTAACTTAAAAACAAACTATGCTTTAAAAAATGTTGCTAGCACCTAAGTCATTGGTGACCTTGAACAATCTTGATGAAGTATTGAGGATGAGAGCCATCCTGGGAGAGAAGTGGTATATTGTTTAGGGATACATACATATCTATAATAATAAAAGCATAATATGCTAAGTAGACCGTACATCCTTCCAGATGACCTTCTAGATGAAGCTGGGGCTGCGAGGGAAGCCCGGGTCCCGGGTGCCTGAGGGAAGCGAGTGCCAGCAGCCAGGGGAAGGAAGGATAGAGGGTAGGCCTGAGGACTGAAGAATCCTGGGTTCGGTTCCAGTCAAGGGCACATGCTGGGGTTGCAGGCTCCGTCCCCAGTGGGGGGCATGCAGGAGGCAGTGGATCAATGGTTCTCTCTCATCACTGATATTTCTGTCTCTCTCCCTTCCTCTCTGAAATCAATAAAAATATATACATTTAAAAAATAAAATAAAATAAAAATATGCTTGGGAATGCTAAACACTAAGATTCAGGAGAGCGGTTGCTTCTGGCAGAGAGCAATGTGATTAGAGAGGAGTACTCAACAATATAGAATTTTATTTTTTATATGAATCATGGGTGTTCATTATGTTATTTTCTATACCTCCTGAATTAGAAGGGTGATGTAAATTCAGATCTATCCTCACCTTTTTTGCTTTTCTACATGTGGGTCCAGGTAGTTGCAAACTTCCCTGCTGCTTCCCAAGACCAGTGTGGA